CTTAACAAAACTATCGAGTGTGTGAGAGTGCTTCTGCTGGCATTTGTGCTCCAGTAGGACTCCCAGAACTCTGTTAGAGCTGCKTTCTGCACATTGAGCAGAGGGGGAGCAGTGCTGTGCACAGACTCAGTTCTCTGGTCTAGAGACAACTAGCTCTAGAGACAGCTCTTGTACAGTCCTTCCTGCATCCCTGTAATTTATTTGGGTGCCATTAATGCAGTACAAGTACTGGAGATAAATACTGAACATCACCCAGTCAGATTTGAGTCAGTATAAATCTAAAATGACTAGTTCTTCCTCTATCAAAGATAAAGAAAGAAACCAGGATAACATGGTTGCTTGCCTGTGTAGACATRCATTTGTGATGGTTTGTGCGTACAAACAATTGCCATAAAAGAAAAGTGAACATGGCAGTGCTATGTGTTCAGCATCCCAATGTTTCGTGGGCTGCCGTAGGGTTCACAAGTGCATTTTCAGTTTGTCACTGAAATAACATAAAAGCAGAAAATAGCTGAGCTTTACTATTTTACCAGTTTAATGTCTTAGAGAATAGGCCTTGTTCTCTAACAGAAAAAATTATAATCCATTAAGGAAAATTTGGCCACATAAAAGGCTGCAGTATATCTCATTTCCAATGTTGCAAAAACCTCCCTTTCGGGTAATTTGGAGAAAACCTTTCAGTCTCATTTAGGGTGATAATTTTATTGAGTGTAGTGGTTGCAAAATGAGAGTGATCATAGCAGCTTCTGTGTGAATTTATTCTGCAAAATCATACCGATTGCCAAGTAGAGGTCAGGATGCCGGAGACAGGGATGGGAGGGAATCCCTTCTGACAGGAGGAAGAGGGATTTCCTTTCAGTCAGGCTAAAAGGTTAACAGCAAAAATAAAGAAGGCAAAGTTACAGATTGTCTCTCGTAGCTGCTTCTGGACTTGTGAAGGAGAGTCTTAATGCCTGCAGTGGAAAACAAACACACTCAAGATGTGCAGAGAAGGAGCGACCCTGCCATGACATGCTGTCCACCATTGTCTCCTCCAAGAGAAGGAGTGGGAGGTTCAAAGGTTATCATCCTATTTATGCTAATTGAGTTTGAGCTAAGCTCTTCCCGAGGAAAAAAGCCTCTTATTGAATTAGTTATTCAGTTCCTTGGGGTGCAAGTGGAATGGCGGTAACATTGTCTTAGACTCTGCTCGAGTGGCCCTTGAAGAGTACATCTTAAAGATTTCTCTTCGTTAAAGCATCCCTCAGATGCAAAGCAGCCCGGAGACCTGAGAGATTTGTGTGCCTTTTGCTATTTGTCCRTCTTCAAAAGGGGCCAAACATGTTCAGGTACACAGCACCCTGGCAGGTCCTCTGCTTGTCCATGGAGCAGGGTTTGAGGGTAAGAACAATTTATTTTCATAGCATTGTTGAACAACCATAATTCGTAATTGTATGAGTGTGCTGTAAGGGGGAAGCAGCATTAGAGCTGCTTATGGAGAAAATGAAGGATCTGTGGGGATTTGTCTTGATTTTTCCTTCACTGTGTATTTCCATGTTGCTGTAACTTGAGGGAACAAGTCAGAAGTTCTATGAAAACATGCTCTGTATGTTTATATGTCTCTGCATTTATATTCATGCATCAAACATACATCACTGTGTACTTCTATGTAGGAAAATATTGTTAATAATTCTAATTTCCATAGGCCCTTCTATCCTTAAGCTTTTGAAAGGTTTATAGAGATGGATTAATGAATTAAACCTCATAGCAGTCTTAAGAGACACATGTTAAGGTAGGATTGCAGTCTGGGTAAGTTAAGTATTTTATTCAAGGTCATGCATCAAGTCAGCAGCAGATAGGAGAATGAAATCCAGCACTTCTGATTCTRAGTCAGTCTAGTTGTCTAATAATTGTTAGTTGTCTTCTAAATTGGATTTTCTTCAAAACCTTTAGTCTTGAGGATTCTTGCAAGTACAATTAACTGTAGCAGCAGAACAACTATGGTCAAGATTGGCATCTGAAAAGTGTAATCTTAAATTAATTTGGCTGTCATTATTTCTGCATTTATTCGTACAGTACATCGCAGTATTCTTTTCCATGAAACCAGTCTACTAGTCTCTGATGGCATTTAATATGAAAGAGTTAGTTTGCAATTCAAAAATACCTATTGCATTTCCTCAGCTCTCCTGATTTTATCACAACTCTTGAAATACTTGGTATGGCTTTTCTTTCCAAAAGTGCCAAATGACAGAAAGGCCTTTAAACTTTGAAAATAGGTTTATAGCCTCAGAAGGTGCGACAAAATACTGAAAACTGTGGTGTCTAAATATTGTCTYCTGATCTATTTCTGGCTTCCTCTTTGAAAGAGGCAAATCAAAATTGAAGTGTTACTTGCATCATTTTGTTCTTGCACCTAGCAAGATTTGTATCTCACTAACTTTTATGATTTTTGGAGACTGATCTTTCTGAATCAGTCTCTCCAGAAAGTGCATGCTTAAAAACAGAATGAGAAAAAACATATGTACACAGTATACGAGGACAGTTGGCATTTATTGTTGCTAAGTCCATTTTGACTATTCCCTTTCTAATCCTTTTATCTTAAAGGATCCAACTATACAGATTGTATAGATCACTTATCAGTCATTACGTAATCTTCTTTGGGATAGAGGTGGGATTTTGTGCTGTAAAAAGGGTGGCCCCCCAGGGCTTCCAAAGGGCCAGTGTTTGTGCAAATTTCCCCTCTGGAACAGGTTCTCAGCTGGTTATGGGAGCTCTTTCAGCAGAAACCATAGTTTCTCAGGTATTCCTTACTATATCATAAAAGTTTACTTCTGGATAAGTAGGAATCTGCAATGTATGGCTTTCACAATTAGTAGTTACCTAATCATAATTTCTGCAGAAGTTTCTCTTTTCCTTTTCCTCCTGGTATCTCAATCAAGCATTACTGAAAAAAAATACTCATAAAGTCAATGAAGTGGTCTTTTTTTCCCCGTTTTCTATTTTAACATAGACAGCTCCACAGTCATAAGTTACAGCATATCGAGATGCCCAGTGTATCACCCAGAAGCTGTGGCTGAAAAGAAAATTTGGCCATGTGTCTGTTGGGTCCCTAAAGGCATGGCATTCTTCATTGAATTTTATGTTGTACAGAGCTGTTCAAGTGCTAGAGCGATGATAATAAATTTTGGATCTTTGTTATCCAAATGCATTAAAGTGTCAGAAAGCAGAATGCTAGCTGCCAGCATTGGCTGCAGTTCAGTCTCTGGGCTTTAGCTCAGGGTATTGCCTAAGCCAAAAGTTAAATWGGATGGCTGGGGAACAGTCACATCAAATGCAGTGCCCACTTGCTGTCAAAAAAAGGTTAAAAGATTAAATACATTTACTGTCCTTGCAGTACAATATTGCCATTGTGATAGCCACTCAGGCAGGAATATGTGTATTTCTGTTCTAATTGAAATCATGGAGGATGGCCACTTCATTGAAATAAGTGATGCTCTCAGCTTCCTTTCCATAATTGCTTGCTCAAAATCAGCCAGAGATAGCTTCTCCCAAAAAGGTGATTCTGCATCCCTGTATGGATGAAATAATGCCTACATTGAACTGTGCCAGGCCATGAAGTCATAGCCTGCTGTCTGCATACCAGGCATTCATTACACATGTGCATGGACAACTCTCCAGGATCAAGCTGGAGCTCATGTTATGTRGAGCTGTGCTCAGAAAGTCTGAATTCCACAGGACTTTCTCTGGGTAATGCTAGGCAACAATGTGGAAGGTGTCCATAGCTCCCCATGTACAAATCTGCCTTTTACATGTTTAAAATAAGCAGTGAAGYTTAATATAAATATTTGGATTTGTTACTTACTTGCATTTCTCTATTGCAACGAGTTAATCTAGTCAARCCAGTGATAAGTTTCACATTACCTTTTGCCTATGCAGGCAGACACTATTTTACATTAAAATTTATTAAATCATATTAATCAGACAGCTGATGGAAGTATACTGTTGACCTTGCTGGAGGAAGGCAGCAATATTTCTTCTCTTTTAGGCCCAGCCAAAGTCACCATTTCACATTTCTTGGAAGGCTGTCCAGCTCACCTTTTCATGTGATCAGCACTCAGGTTTACAGCCTGCTTCTCCTCAAGTCCACCACAAAACTCTCCTTGGTTTGGACTGGTGCAGGACAGGGTTTACAAAGATAATATGACAGTAGTTTGACAATACTATTTATAGTGATGCCTAAAGTGGAGAAGTTTTCCCAAAACATTATTGTTGGTGGCTTTTGTGTTAGCACAGGTATGGCTAATGAAAAGGCAGGGCCACCTCTACTCTTCTGTTACATGGCAAAACTGCACTAAGACTCATTAGAGGCACATCCGGGCTGTGCAGCAGTGCTGGTAATTTGTTTTAATGAATACTGCTCATTTAAAAAGCTGTAATTTGTGCAAAGCCCTTAGGAAGTAAGAAGGAACCGCAGCAACATAAATTCCCTAAAGCACAGTCACAGTCTTTCCAGGTGTGYGACTAAAGGATGTCATAAGCCTTACCAGAAACAAATAAAGGCTGTAAATCATCAGAATTCTGCAGTTGTTCCGTTGGGTCTGGCATTCTGATTTTTACTGAACTGTTGAGTCTGTATATTGCACTAAGTTGTTTTGAATTAGATAAGGGGATAAATTGGAAAGGTCTTAAGAGTAAAGGTAGATGTGATCRTTTACTGTTGTTGAGGTGCATTTGGCTGGGCTGGGTGGTGTTTTTCTTTTACACATACATCTGTTCTAGCACCTCTAGATTTCCATATTCTGTTACGTGATGTGGTRAAGACAGCATTTGGAAGAAATGCTCATTGTTGGTATTACCTGCAAATAATAGGTTTCTAACTGGTGGTTTCTGAACTTCAACTACAACATACTAACTATGGCACTGAAAGGCATTTTCGTGCTTAACCAAAAGTGTTCTCATTATGTCTCCAGTGATTCAGACAAATCARCTCCTGGCTGCTTCTCTTCAGATTRAGGAGCTGATACAATTTCCTGAYGTTTTTCAKGCAGAAGAAGCCTGAGAGTGATATCTAACATTATTCCCCAGCCCTTWTAAGAACCTGTGTTCCTAGGCAAATAAATAGCACTGCACTGTGAAAACAATCATCTTGTCTTTACAAGTGAAGTGGTGTTTTCAGACTGGTGATTTGTCTTGATGGCAGGTAAATACAAATGCTTCCTACAAGGAGCTGGCTTGTACTTAACATAATGCAGTAGCAGAAGATGACTCCTGTTGCATAGAATTGGATCAGTACTGTCARAACACTTCTCAGCATCAAAGATCCCAGCAAAGAACCTCAGTGTCCTGTAAGGTAAACAGAAGAATAAGCCCTGAATGTTCACTCTAGCTGGATGGTACTTGCTTGCACAGAAGTGGTTCTGTCCTCTGTCATTACTGCCTTTTTTGTTTTTTGTTTTGTTTTGAGTGTTGGAAAGTGAGTGTTTTACTGGAAATCAGAGTTCATGTGGTTGAAGGAGCAGAGGAGAATTTTTAAAGCGTAACTATCTAACTATCAAGAAGAATTTTGAAAGAATTATTTGAAGTAAATAAGACCTTCTGGCTTGTCAGACTCACTGCTAAGAACTTAAAAAACATGAGGAGAATAAAAAGGKCTATATAGCCACATTTTTGTGCTGGCAATTCTTGGCTTCCTGGGGCTTCAATAATGGCATCTGAGCAAATGGAATTATTTTTATTGCTGTATGATTAGGGGAGCTTTAGTTCCATCAAGTGCCAGCAATACCTGTTTGTACACATTATTATAGTAACCTGGGTCTTTAATCTCTGCTGTTGGTAGTCACTTCGTGACACACCATACTTACCCCACTTCTCAATTGTTGTTTCTGTTCCTGTCTGCCTTTCAAAAGTGTTTCCAGTTCTTTTCCACTTCCTTTTCCCCTCTTCATTTTCAGACTTTTAATGCAGACCCGATGGAACATGTCTGCTCTCACTGCCCTTTGTTTTTCATATGGCAGAGAGACTGGAGATGGCAGAAAGGAATGAGATAAATTGGGAAAAGAAGGAATTACGATATCACCAGATTCCCTGACCTGTAAAACAGAAGCTATCCTGCAGAAGTGTCTTAATCTGTTTTTAGCTGCCCACYATGTTCACTGTCCTCGTTCAGAGAGAAGGATTTTCAGGGCCCCCTGTCAAGAGAGTTACAAGTGTTATGTTTGAGCTGCTGTGTACCTTYACTGCTGTTTTCTGGCAGTAAATTAGAAATACTGATGATGTGTTCATAAATTTATTCTGGGCCATTTTGGTATAAATTCTAAATAATTAAAACTTGTCTCCAGTTCCTTCGGGAATATCTTTGCTCGTTTTGTGCTGGGAAAGCATACATAGGTATGAATACAAAACCATTGAGCTTTTGCTGAAGTCAATTTTTGAATCATAGTTCCTGGAAAAAGAACTTGTCCAAACCATGGCAATCATCAGGGAAAACTGTTCCTGACGAAAGTCACAGTAAAATATATCATTAATCATAACCCACCCACATCTAGGTATCATAACACCAGACGCTTCACTGGAGGAAGGAACAATACTGCTGATACTCATGACTCACCATATTCATGGGTTATAAAGTTTAAAGCATCAGCTGTGATCCCATTATGACTGGCATTGTGACACAGACTAGTGGATTTTCCTGAATTGATTTCTGTTTGGATTACTGCTTATCTTTTAGAAAAACATCCAGTTTTGATTCCACATGTCCTATAAGGGAGCATTAATCACAGCCCTTAATAAATTGTTCYTTTCCTTAATTATAATCATTGCTAAGACCTTCCTGTTAGAAAATAGGCATTATTTTACTCACAGTGTCCCTGAAAACTCCCCAGTGCAATCAGAAATGTCTTGTGCTCCTTCCGCTTCTGAGGGACTGTCTTTGTTGGCAGATTGCAGGCTGATTGGACATGTTTTTTTTTTTATTGTTTTTTATGTTGCATAACCTGTGAGGCTGGAAGAAGTTCTGCCTTTAATTACAGTCTGTCTAACTATCTAAAAAACTTCTCACTCTTCCTTCGAGTCTTACCCTGGTGATGCCAGCAGGCACCTGTGGCTGAGATGATGAATGTGAATGGCATGTGCACGGCCTCCACTTTTCATTCATACTGCTTTCATCTTGCTGTCACCTGATGCTGCGCCCTGCCTCCAYGTGTCCACCCCTCTGCTAAGCTCTGGTTGTGAGCTGTGGTGAGGCTGTGACCAGATTATTATTGCTGTTTTAAAACTAGGRTATTATCTAGAGGTACCTGCACAGAGGTCTCCATCTGAGCTGTGCTGACAGCTTCTGGGCATTAATCAGGTTACTTGATGAAACAAATGGTCAAGGTGAAGTGTCTGGTTAAGAGTTCTTCTCTCAGTTTCAGCGTAGTTTAGGGCTGTGCTTATACTACGGTTTCCACCAGGAAATTGGCAAGTGTGTTGACATCAGACAGTGCAAACTCACACTCAGGGCTGGCTGAGGACCACTGGCAGCCCTTGGCAGCAGTTCTAAGCTGAACCCAGGATCCATGTGAACTCAAGTCAGAGTTACTAGGCCAGAATGGTACTTCTCCCAATTCCAGGAATGTGGTGTCTGTATGCAAAGTGTGATGTGCTGATGGGGGTTGCAGTGCAGAGGTGTGGGTCTGGCTGAGCTCTGCTTTGAAAACACTCCCTTAATTATGCTGCAGGTTTGGGCAGTGCTTCTGTAATAGTTGGCTGTCAAATCACCTCACAAAGCTATGATCTTTTCTTTATCCTTTTTGAGATGCTAATTGGAAAGAAGAGATGTCGGTGCTAACGCACTGATAAGCACATTAGCCATGTTGTTACTTGGTTGCTGAGATATTCACAATTCCTTAATTGAAGGCGTTTATTTCCTTTGGGTAATTTCTGCTTAGCTGACTAACTCAACAATGCTCTGTCCACATGTGTTTCCTGAAATTACCAGCTGACATAATACAAAATACCGCTTTATAAATGTCTGTACAATTTGAAAGGAGTAGCAAAGCATCATTTTTCCACTGAGCAGAATACCAGGGTGCTATGAAAAGTGTTTCTGGGTAGAAAAACAGAAGTCTTTCCATGCCCTCATRGAACAGCACAGAGGTCCCACTCAGGTCCTGCATAAGGCAAGTTGAATTACCCTTTTGCAAGCTGGATATTTTTCTTCATGGTCAACAATGTGCATAATGATGGCCCTTGGTTGGGAGAAATGTCAGCCCTTGGACTGTGGTGTGGGTGTTTTAGATTCAGCAATCAGCGAAGTCTTGAAGTAGTCTGGGTAACTTTCCTATGTAGGTTGTGATGAAAATTAAGTAGTAATGTCCTCCTTTTATTTCAGAATCTGAGATTCTCAAGCACTAGATGTTAAGTTAGTGATCCGATTAGCCTTCTAGTGTATATTCAATTTTTCCTCTTGATGGGACACTGACAACCCCAGATTTTTGCCATTTGTCGAATACTTGGAATTTGTCATTCAGATCTGCATGTATACACATCAGTAAYGTCTAGTTCTCTGTCCTAGAAACCACTTTCTGAGGTGTTAGGCAGCATTTCTTTCTGGTAGTTTCACTTTAAACGTCAGGATTCCAGCATTTTTCTTTTAACATCCCGGTCTGCAGTGTTTGCAGTTCATAAAAACAATGAGCTCTGCTTTCAATGTATCTGGAGCTGGTCCAGGTCTGTGCTGTTGTCCATGTGCAAACTGCCACTCACCATTCCAGAAGAGAGGCCGATTCCCACGTTCATCCCACTTGCAAACAGCCAAACAACTTGTTTCTTCTTCGAGWGGCTTTTTTTCAGCAAGTTACTTTTTGGTGGCACACTTGTATCCTTGTATTCACAGAATTGTTCGAAGTTCATGGTGATTCTGAAGTGGTGCTGTGATTATGAGTTTAATTTTATTTGCCTTTTAATACTCCTAAGAGGATTTTTTTTTTCACCTGTGATGTAAGAAATGTTAAATGCCATCTGATGAAAATACATTTGTTATTTATAGGTAAATCCAATTATTTAGTTAATTAATGGATCTTAAAAATAGCTGTAACAAATGGTCATTCAATATGTTTGCAAACAACTGACTTCGATTTCGCTCCTGAAAAGCATCCATTGTGATTGATTTGTGAGTATTCAGCTTTGTGAAAGGAAAGCCAGACTTGTTAAGTATAGATTTATCTTGCACATCGCAGAGAACAGACAAATCAGTGCTTATTGAGCCACCCTGTAATTGCATTAGTCTGTAAACTTCTGGTGGCCTGGTTTCCTCTCTTATTAACTGGAATGAGAAGGGTTGGAGACATGCTTGGATACTTGCACTTGTAGATTAGACAKTTCCTTTTTTGGAGATGGGCTTTACTGGCTTGGCTTTTTTTTCCTTAAAAACGAGACATGGYTTTGGTCTGGTGTTATTTTTTGTTCTGCCAGAAAACTGTGATGCATTATGCAAAAATGTTCATTTGTTCTAAGCTAAGATTATTTATAGGTCAGAGTTCTCACAGGATGAGTACTGCCAGCTTTAGGTCCTCATAAGGAATACAAATTCAGTTTTGAGATTAGCCGTTGTATTTCTTTTTCCACTTGTGATAACTAGTTTAGGTCCCTGCCTCGTTTTGCATGTGTCAGTTTTGATAAATGATATTCACCTCACAGAACTCTGCTGTCTGTCACTTTGTGAGATACAAAGTACATAAAAAGAAAAATAAAATACATTTTTATCTTTCTCATTAAAGTTATTTTTGAACACCARGTTCTTGTTAACCTGTCAGTCAGAAGGGGAAGCCACCAAACGAGGAGGGGGCAGGGGGCAGGCGGGGATTGCTGCGATGTTTCTGTTGTATGAAAATCTTGAGAAAATGCTTGTATGAAAAGCTTGAGATTTTCCACAGCACCTGAGTTTCTAAGCTCCTGTGCTAAAACCAGAGAAGCCAATTGGGAGCAATAAATTTAGACAGGTGCCTAAGCATTATTTTAGGAGCCTACAGCAAGGGSAAGGCGTTTTGGGCAAGAGGAAAGAGTTTTTAATGGGATGCCCCAGGCACGCGTGGCTGTTTCAGCTGAGAGCTGCCACTCCCCCGGCTGCTTCCCCTGGCCCTGTGGCTGCTCCCAAGAAAGTAAACAATCAGGGTTTGCCCCAAATCTGCTGTATGACCAGAGAATCCTGTTGAGACTAGAGCTAGGCAAGCACCAAACAAACAGCTTGTACTCCAGACCTTAGGCTTTCAGCCTGTAAGTAATTGCAGTCCTTTTCTAGTACGTGTTAATAATGCAAACCAAATCTTGATGTTAACCCCTTCCAGCAAGCTAAAGCCTTGTTCACAACCCAGTGGGTCACAGAAGCGGCATTTAGAAATAAAAGTGAAGATGCTACATGGCCTAATGGCTGTGATCCTGGAAAGGCAGATGGTGTCTTTGGGGTCCTTCATGGTTACACTGTTCCAAGGTTGTCTGTTCAGCTGTGGAAGGAAGGGATAAATACAAATCCCCCAAATTGGAATGACTGCAGTGTGAGTATTTAGTTTGATTCATGAAGGACAGCTGTTGTAAGAAATTTCTCACTGTGTCTTACTGACAACCATTCTTCCTTATGCTTGTGTGCAGAAAAGTTGTCTGTGGGGGAGGAGGTTTCAAAATGGACAAATTTGTCAGAAATTCGTGCTGGAGTAATAATCTTAAAACAGGAGGGTGAGTTGCAACAGAGGTTTTCCCTGTTGACAGCTTCTTTTCACTTGGTAATGCTCCACAGGTAATTCACAGGGTGGTAATCTAGCTCCTCTTCCCAGAGTGGGATGCTGCTCTGCCTTTCCCCCACCCATGTTAAAATTTTGTGTGAAATTTGGGGCCAGTTTCAGCAATATATTGCAGGAAAGGACATCTACACTAGAGGRAAAAGGGGTGTTCTCACAGAACCATTCACCACCAGCTCCTCGGTAAAATCTCAGAGCCTTTATGGCATCTTGGGTGTAGTGTAATACTAAGGCATTAATTCTAATTCACAAGTTTGTCTTTTTGCCCTGAGGCAAATATTGGACATGCTTCTTAATGCTTCTTACTTTTATCAAGCATTTTCCCAGTTCTAGCTTGTCCCAGTTTGATGACAGTCTAAATAGACAGCATTGGTGGCTGAAAAATTTTACAGTTTTGTAAAACATACTAGGAAGGTGGTCTGCTACAAAAAATACGTTTTAAAATATTGATTGAGAATACTCTGTGAAATTAAGGTGATTTCCTGGCACGTTGTGAAATGTCTGAAGAATCTGGATGCCTATAATGTGGTTAGAGGTATTTGTATGGTGGGACACGAGATATGCAAGGTGTTCTGCCCGTCATGCCTATAAACAGCGAAAGAATGACAGAAGGACTTTGTGGRTTTCTTCTTGTGCCTGCACTTTCCACACTGCATCCTCTAATATGTGAAATTTAAGTRCCATCCCGTGTTTCTCCACCTGCCTTTGTGCCTCTGTTTTTCATACAGGAATATAGGTTGGGAAGACCCTTCAAGATTTTCTTTGGCTYACAATTTGCCATGAGATAGCATATCTTGTTGTGTGCATAGAGGCGAGAGATGAGGCTCAGCATAAAGCCATCCTCTGGAAATTGTTCCCTGTCTGTTTCCCTCTAGATAYGTTCATGTAGATAGATTTAGGTAGAGATAGAGATTGCAGCAGAGAGCTTCTCGCTGCTCCTGCAGACAGCTGTACACAGGGGACACAGGCTAGAAAAACATTTGCAATTACTCTCCTAAACCCTGCATTCTTGTCATTGTTAGAGCCCTAATTTGCTGAGCGGTTGATTTAAGCCCAGGAAACCATTATGGGTTGATTTTATTGTTGCTATTATTGCAATAGGAGGATGGAATTAAAAACAAATGCCTCAGTGCTGATGTTTGATTAGRGAGGGAGACTGATAT